TTTTTTTATTGAAATTTTTTAAAGTTCCTTTCAAATGGTGGAGGGTATTAAAATTTCGGCCCGGTCGAACTTAGCTGCTTTTTTACTTGTTCATATTAAAAGTTAGTTTTTTTATTTTTTATACTCTACAACACTATATGCTGCGAGGTATTATAAGTTTGGTCATGCCAATACGTTTTATTTCGGCGAGCTGAATCGATCAGTCCAAAATATGAAGGGCATGAAATATGCCAAATTTTAGCATTCTAAAATTTCCATTGAAACCAAATTACTTTTATTGTTGAAAGTCAATTTCGTACGAAATCGTATATAAAAGTGGAACATTGATGTTAATTTCGTGTTTATATAGACTAAAATATACACATGAATCTAAATTTTCAAATGTTGTTTTGAAAAGTCAGAACTCCAAATATGTTCCATTATTGCACTTAATTTACTTCTCCCCAAATATCGGATACGGAACTTTTTTAATATATTACTCTTTCTGGGGTGGAGAAGTAAACCTATAAATCACATTATTTCACTGTCGATAGGAATGTAGAGACGTACAAAGTTTTGGAAAATTCAAAGCTGAAGATAATTTTCTTTAAAAAATCTGTAGAATTAATCTTACAATCTAAACATTTGAAGCCTGAATGCTTCCTATAGGATTTAATGTATTTTCCAAAAGAAATTATATATTGTAAGCCATCAACCGAAATCCAGGACAGACAATTAAACATATCCTTCGTCCTTTCTTATTCGCGTTTATTTCATGTACGTGACATGTCTGTATGGCATTAGCAACTAATTCTAAAAGTCCTTGTTGGATTCCTTTGAATAACATGTAGCGCCTGTGCAAAAGTCAATTAGAAACAAGCTGTGAAAACCTTAGATGCAACTTAAGTATAGCACGTTCTGAAACGCTCGTGCTATGCGAGGCGCTAAAAGATTTGGTTTTTGTTAAATTTCCCATTTTGCGCTATAGGAATTTTCTTCTTGGCAACTGGTGGTCAACATATGTGCGCAAAAAAAACGGCAGACAAGGGAAAACACACCATTTTCTGCGTGAGGTCCGATTGTCTGGCAGTCTAGCAGTCATGGAAAGGCGCTTTGTTTTCAATTCAATGAACAATAAGTGTTTGCATGTAGGTAGGTTCTGGTAGTGCTCCTCTAAAGGACATGCCTTGCTGTGTTGCAGAGTGGTATGTAGCATGGAAAGGTCATTGCCGAAACAACAATACAAACCAAATCTATGGTATTCATAAACAGGGACAGACAAGGACATTCGCATTAGGCTTAAATTTTTAATAGCATTAAAACTATTTGAATATTTTTATAGGTTTGCAAAGCAGGATTTTTTATTTTATTTTCTCCTACAAAAACAACATCAATGTAGACATGAAATAAGACATGAACGCTTTACCCCACTTTGATTTTGGCATCGGCATTCAAATGAAAAAGGAGAAGGACGAAAGGGTGTTAAAAATCTCAAGGGGTTTTTTCGGTGGAAAAATGTGAACAGCAATTAATAATCTATTTTTAGTTTGGCAGTTTAAAACTAAATTTAAGAACTCGTCTTTCAGTGAGCCCTACTTCGTCTACTTCAAAGGCACTTGAATGAAGCGTAACACTCCCTCGCACTCACACACACACACACACTCTCTTCCCCTGCATTACAAACGGTATTCAAGTGCGGAGCTCTCCTTTGTGCCCTATTGGAAATATGAAACCAAAATGAAGTACATAAATATCCCTGGAAATCCATCATGAGGCGTGTCAAACAACAACGAAATGAATGTCGAACGAAATGCATTGACAGTCAGTTTGCCTGGCAGTGACAAAATAATAAACGATGGCAATTCTCCCACCCAGCTAGAAAATGCTCGCATAGCTATATTTGAAGGGATGTTGCCGCCTGCATTTGAGGGCATCCAAAATCCGTGACCACATTGGATTTATTCGGCCGTCATCATTAAAATTCCAACAAACGAAAAACTAAAACAACAAAGAAATTGGAGCTGAGTTTTTTTGAAGGTACCGTGGAATTCTGACTAACATCTAAATTCCATTGCTCGGGTGGAGGTAGGTGGTTGCCCAGTCAATCATTTACGCCTTAAACACGCAAAGAAATAGGAATTCATTTTCAATATTTATTTTAATAGAATAAAGTGCAGTAGCAAGGAAGTGGATGAGAGGCGTAAGCAATGTAAATGAGGAAAATTTATGTGATTCATCTTTAGTTAGAGTATTGGTAGACCGCATTGTTACGTTGCAGATTATAGCTGACAAAATGTTAAGGACCGCCAATTATAAAGAAGAGCTTTGCGAATTTTATAAATTTTGTTTTATACCCTTAGTCGTATGGCTGCAGAGGGTATGTATCATCTTATTTGGCCAAGAGTGACTATTCGATGAGTCCATAATGAGATCATTTTCGATTAAAGTATCTTATTTCGACTCAACATAGTATAGTTTAATGTTTTTGTCAAATATCGTTTCGATTGTTCTGAAGATGACCAATAGCGAACCACTTCTTCCTATATATACCACGTAAAAGGTCAACATTAAAACTAGTTAAAAAGCAGTAAGTTCAGCCGGGCCGAACCGTTAAAAATTCTGTTAAAAACTAAAAATATGGGGCCTATACGAAGAATATATGGGGCCTATACGAAGAATATATGGGGCCTATACGAAGACCTGAACCTGCATAAAAAATTTTGTGTCACAGACTGCAGTTCCCATTACGAAGATGACCAACAGCGAACCACTTCTTCCTATATATACTGCATAAAAGGTCAACATTAAAACAAGTTAAAAAGCAGTAAGTTCAGCCGGGCCGAACTTTGAATACCCTCCACCATTTGGAACTAATTCGGAAATTTTCGGAAATACGAAGAATATATGGGGCCAATACGAACACCTGAACCTGCATTAAAAAGTTTGTGTCACAGACTGCAGTTCCCATTACGAACTTTTAATACGTAATTTGAAACTCCTCCAGTGAATAATGACGCTAAAATCATCAAAATACTGAATATTGGGAGGTACCGTAATAGGGGGCCAATACGAAGACGTGGACCTACATTTACGAACTTAACCTGCCTGCTGGCAAAATAAACATGTGTGCAAAATTTTAGCCTTTTATCTCAATTCGTTCGTGATTACATACGGACATCGCTAACTCGACTTACATTGTTGGGACTGACATGAGTATTTCGAGGAGTTACAAACAGAATGACAAAGTTAATATACTCTCCATAGAATGATGGCGGGTATAAAAATAGGCCAATAGTTTCCAATTAAATTAACTTTAATTTTACTATTCTGCTTTTCACTGTAGAAAAGTTCCAACATTGGATCATTATTTGATATAACCCTCGTATAATAGAAGAATACATCCCTTTTTTGAAGATCCTGCCACAAATTCTTAACTGAATAGGCTATAATGTATCATTAAGGATTCATAACGTGTTGATTCATTTTTACAAATATATTGAAATATTTGATCCTCCCAGAAGTTAGGGCAAGGGTAAGTATAAACAATTAAATGCTAAAATATTAGAAGAATATAAGCCAGAAAACTTTCCCTTTCAAGAAGTTCATAAGTAACGACACCTAACGATTTGACTAATTATACCCTTAGCTATATGGCTACAGAGGGTAAATGTTATTTGATCCGGCCATAACGCGACTCATCGAAATAACGGGTTTAGACCCTAGATCTCTTTGGACCAAATCCATTTCAAGAAATTTGGAGTCCTTCTAGGGGTGCTCGTCTGCATGTTTGTCTGACTGGTGTGCACGATAACTCTTTAAGGGAGTATCCGATTTGGTACATCGGTACCATGTAAGGTCAGGTGCGAAAATGAACAATATCGATCCACTTCAACAAGTACCTCCCCCACAAGGGGTCAAAATTTGGAAAAATTGTAACTCTTATAAAGTGTGAAATAACTTTTCAGTTATCTTCGGATTTAACATATCTCAATATTTTTTTAACAACACAAGATCTTTTGTGAGGATGGGATATATCGGTCTCCTCCCTCTGGTACCTCCGGCACAACGGGTCAAAATGGAAGATGGAATATGTGTGTGATGTGAAGATGGAATAGCTAGGACAACTTCTTCTGGTAACTCCTTCACAACGGGTCAAAATTCGGTATAGGCCAAACTCTCATAAAATGCGAAGTAATCAACCGATTCATTCTAAGCTTCAAATATTCCAATATTTCCACTATTACAACATCTGATGTGAAGATGGAATATATCGGCTAATTCCTTTTGAAACTTTTCCCAAAAAAAAAAATTGAATAACCATATCTCAGCTCATAACATACGAAAAAGTCAACGATACTTTTCAAACTTTTCTAAATATTCCTCTCAAGCAGAGAGTATTTCAATATTTCTGTCAACCATAGATTCTATAGATATTTCGGTCCACTGCTTCCGGTTAAGCACTTGACTAACAATAGTTCATATTGAATTGTAAATAAGTTTTGGATTTTGTTTAAATTTTGCACTTTCCAATATATTTTTTAGGTATTAGATAAAGTGGAATACCTCGATCCATTGTATCTGGTGCATGGCTCACATTTGAACATTTTCCAAAAATTATCACATATCACATGTCTCACATAAAGCTCAGATACAAAATTGACAATATTGACCAACCCTTTCGGAACCTTCTTCACAAATGTTAACTCAAATACATTGACTGAGGGTATACATCTGTCGATTTAGCGATGTCCGAACGATTTAAAATAATAGGACAAAACAATTATTTAAAATTAGGTATTTAGAGCTAATAAGTGGTTCTACTGCAGAACATTGTCAATGGAGGCGCATGAATTCCAATAGTTTGAATAGAATATTGAATTTTAATTTTATTTTTTTTTTTGTGGAGGATATTTATTCTTTTACACTCCTTTTTGTTGTACTTTTGCTGAATTTGGTTGGTACATTCAGCTTTCTTCTTATAGCTACGAAACATACAAACAATTACGAGTATGTGCACATACACTTTTTTATGTTTCTAAACCGATATTACAAATGTACACACGCGGTTTTGCCAATATTTTTTGTTCCCAATTAAAACAAAAAAACTTTTGGCCGCCTTGATGGATTAAATCCTTGATTGCACAATATTAAGCAAATTGTTACAATAGTTAAAACTTTGTAAACTTCTTACTTTCCCGCTGTCTAATACACTTTTAGCACTCACTTTGTCAAACTGTTATTATCACACAAGTAACACCGAGCTTTTATAGTTAATTGACAACTGCAATTATTCTCATAAAAGTTATTTTAATATTTCTGCGTTATGAATGTGCAATGTATAAATATTTTATTTATTTAAAGGATTGAATAAATGAATGCACAATATTTAATTTAAGGGTAATATGGAATAAGTCACTAAATTCAGGTATTGAAATGAAATTAATATTTGCAACGTACACTTGTGGACATGGCTGCAGTTTTTAAATTCAAAGCATAAACGGTAAATTAATTTTTTCTGTTTCAAGTTGTCTCTCAAAAAATAGCTGCAGGTTTTAGCATAATTATCATAGATCTATACTTTCCGATTTTATGCAGTTAAAAGTCCTAGTCACATTTCGAACCAAAGTTGTTAATCCAAACAGTAAAATAAAAAAATGAGATTTTTTCATATATCAGCATTTGTATATTCAGTTCCGCATCGGCAATTCACTGCGTGCCATTTAGATAGGCAGAGGATATCCACGACATGACTGCATCGACAGACATGTCCCAAAGAGATTTTATCCAAATATGTATTTTTGACATTTAATATATTATTATTGAAGGTTGGCATAAGACTTAGTTCTCCAATAAAGGCCGCCTTGGCATCGGACCTTACTTGGACAATAATGTAATATATGTAATAATAATGTAATGCAAATTTTAGACTAACACAATGTTCCCCATAATTTAAAATATGTTTCATTTTGAAAGACGCAGCTTTTATACCTAAGCTATGCCTGTTATAATATTGTATGGCCTAAGAACACGAAAGCAAATGCCCTCCCTCTATATTTTTTTAAATTTCTGCCACCAGCATTCCAAAAAAGCTCAAGTTTTGAAGGCACAATATTAGCCTGCTTGTTTTTATACCCTACACCACACTGTAGTCAGTAGTGGCCATAGTTTATTTTTTGATAATCTGCATAGAATCACATTCTGAGTAGATTTATGCATGTCCGTCCGTCTGTCTGTCCATGCATTTTGTAACCAAATCATTTGTTTAGCCCAAGGACAAACTCTTTTAATTGGGTAAATATCGGTCAACAATTAGGTAAAGCTTCCATACATATCTCCGTTCGATTAGCTTTTTATTGGGCACCAAATGTGTAATATTGGATGGAATTTGGCACATGTAACCAAATTGGGCCTAGAAAGACGTATGTCAATTTTGGTGGAAATCGGTTAAGATATGACTAGTGCTCCCATATCTATTGTTCATCCGATGTCTGCAGTTCGTCCTCCACATCTGTATTCCGCAGTAACGATATTTGGGGAAATATATCAAATACAGCTCAGAAATCTTTACCAAGTTTGGGTATAGCTCCCATATATATCTTTATCCGATTTTAAGTTTTTTTGTACACTAAACGGTAAATATAATTCCGAATGCAATAAATTTTGGCATATACTACCAAATTCAGTCTGGAAGGAAGTGTGTCCAACATGTTCATCTTGTTCATCCGATTTGCTATTTTTGCTCCCCACAGTCGTAATATGAACTATAAAACAACGATATTTGGTGCAAGTAATCAGAAAAGGCATAGAAATATATGTGCTTAGAGATCGGTTTAGATTTGGATATAGCTCCCATATATTTTTTATCCGATTTCACATTTTTATACCTTACACCATAAGGTGGTCAGGATATTATGTCTTTATGCATTTGTTTGTAACAGGGAAAAGGAAACAAGATAGACCCATAGTTCCTTTTGATGATCTGCATAGAATCACATTTTAAGTCGATTTATGCATGTCCGTCCGTCTGTCTGTCTATCCGTCTGTCCATGTATTTTTGTAAACAAAGTACAGTTTGCATTTATTACAAGATCCAGATGAATTTTTGCACAAATCATTTGTTTGGCCCAAGGACGATCCCTATTCGATCGGTCACAATTTAGATATAGCTTCCATATATATCTTCGTCCGATTTGCCTTTTATTGTGCACCAAAAGTGTAATATCAGCCCGAATAGTATGGAAAATTTAATATGCCAAGTATGCCAAATTTGATCGAAATCGGTTCAGATATAGCTATTGCTCCCATATATATTTTTCATCCGATTTGTTATTTTGGTCCTCGGCATCCGTAATATGCAATCTGTAACTGCAATATTTGGGGAAATATATTAGATACAGCTCAGAAATACCTTTGCTAAATTTTATCGATCCAATATATAACTTCGTCCGATTTACCTTTATTGTGCACCAAACGTCCAATATTTGCCCAAATGGAATGGAATTTGGCACTTACAACAGAATTGAGTGTAGAAGCTAGTATGTCAAATTTTGAAGATCGGTTCAGATGTAGATATAGATCCCATATATACTGTTCATCCGATTTGTTATATTTGTTACCCACAACCGTAATATGCAGAAATATTTTTGCCAAATTTTATCGAGATTTGGATTTAGCTACCATATATATCTTTTTCCAATCTCAAATTAATTATGCACCAAATGGACACAACAAGCCCGACTTTAAAATATACAAATGCTTCAGCATATTTAGTCCTATGAAATTTAAATTATAATTATAATTATAATCATAGTGATTGAGTTCTCCCATAAAAACTTTTAATTGTTATGTGGAGCTCTACTAAATTAGCAAAGTGGTGTAGGGGTTGGCCCCGCCCGACTTTAAGACTTTTTTTTACTGGTTTATGGCTAAAAATTGTAATATCAGCTGAAATAGGATGGGTTTTGATGAATATCGGTTCGAAAACAAATGCCTCCGCAAATTTAGTAGAAATTGATTCAGAGGAGGATATTTTTCTTCCATATATTAGTTCTTTTCGACTTAATTCTCACAAATTTTCCATAAGGGGTGTGGGGTATCATAAAGTCGGCCCGCCTGACTTTGGCCTTTCTTTACTGATTTTTAATGCATTTTATGCAACTAAGTTACTGTATACCAAATTACTTTATTTATTTCTATAAAAACAAGTATGTACTTAGTTCCCAAGAAATGTTTTAATTTTGCTGCCACTTTTTAATTCAATTAATGTCACATTTCATTCCATTCACAATTTTATGAAATAAAAAACACACGCAAAATAAAATTTAATCAAATTGAATAGACTGACGCCTTTCAGACAATTATTACGTTTCAATGATTTTCTGTAATTTCTTCGTTGGATTCCAAAGATTTTCGTTTTCGCTTTCATGAAACAAATCGTCATAAATCACCGGATGTTATGTTCCACCAAAAGGCGAACTACAACAACAACTATTTGTATGTGCATATATATCCGCATGTACATACATAAAATATATGTATGTATTTATTAGTGTGTGTGAGGGATAAATAAATATTTGAAATATATTCAAAGATCTATATTAATTTATATACAGTCGAACATGGCTACTTTGAACTATGACAGTATCCAAATATTAAATAGATTCTAATAATCAGGGTAAAAACTAAGACGATTCTAAGAGAAGGTAAGATAGAAACGAAATATTTAAAATCGATAGAATTTTAAATTTAAAAAAGCATATTCTTTCCGATACCACTGTCTTCCATGCTTTACTCGTTGATAATCATTGCCATTTTCTCCAACGATAAATTAAAATATTTTTTTATTAAAGCGAAATTGTATCAAGATCAGATCAGATTATGATATAGTTCCCATGTATACCTTTATCCGCTTTCAGGTTAATTATACCCCAAATGGCTAATATCGGCACAAATCGAGTGAATTGTGGCACTTCCGACCGAATTAGGGTTTTAAGCCCCTCACATGAGTAATATGCAATCCACAATAATTATATTTCATACCGGACATCAGATACAGCTCGTAATTATCTATATACAGGGTGAGATAAAAAATCTGCAACAAAGTCAAACACCATAATTTTTACATTTTTTTAAATGTTATTGGATGAAAGCAAACAATGTCGGAAATAGCATCAAATTTTAGAATAAGTTTAGACAAGTTTAGGCAGCCCACACCATCACCATGGCCGACGCTTGAGTTCTGGTGGCCAACCGAAGGTGCACATTTTCAGCTGACCTCTTTGGCAAGGAAACACGATCATTTTGTTTGTTTACAAACTGCTGGGCAACGAATGTTTTCTCATCGGAGAAAACCAAATTCAACAGTTCACCACTTTCGGCCAAGCGAGGCAACTTTTTAGTTCTTTTGAATCTATTTTCTTTCTGTTGCGGTGTAAGTTCTTGCACTTTTTGGAATTTCAATGACTTTAACACGAGCTCTTTTTTTAATTTCTGCCGAATGGAATATTGCGATATGTTCAGCTCACGAGCCATTTTTCAGCCACTGAGACGCGGGTTTCGATCAAGTCGCTTCTTTACTTTTCGAACCATTTCTGCTGATGTTCCGTCCACTTCCTTGACGTCGGGCTACGCTACCAGCATCACGGTAACGAACGATGGTACGAGACACAAAAGATTGATTCACATTTAAACGATAGACACTTGTGGTTTCCCAGCCAAATATAAAGAAATCACACTATCACGCTTGAATCATCACGAATAACTTTTTTTCTGGAAAATTCTCAACAAAATGCTTTTGTACGCTTGTAAACAAAATAATGAGCTGTCACTGGAGTAATTTTAACAGCTATCGGATGAGTGGCTTAGAAATGACAGCAGTCTGAAATTGGTTTCAGTTTTTTCATCTCAGCTTGTATATGCCAAATTTTATCGATCGCTTCAGATTGTTATATAGCTTCGATATACATCTTCATCCGATTTTAGGGTTATTGTTTGCCATATATGTTATATCAGCCCAAATTGAATAAATTTCTTCAGATTCAACCGAATTTTTCCACTTAGTGGATCTCCGTCCGGTATATATATTGCTCCAATAAATATTTTTATATATAATCCGAAGTCATATCATTCTCTATTTGACAATGATATTTGCTACTAGGG